TACACGCGTGTCTCGCCGATATTCTGCCGTTGCATTTGGCCACTACCTGTGCTGTTAATATGGAATGCCCTTACCCTTAAGTCACGATAGGGATCCTTTCTTTATGCATCTATCGGCAGGCCTAGAGTATATTATGCACTTTACGCTTATTCACACCTCCTCCTTCTCCTCCTCCTCCTCCTCCTCCTCCTCCTCCTCCTCCTCATCATCATCATCATCATCATCATCACCATCATCATCTCCACTCCCACCATCAGCAGCAGAATCATCGTTCTCGTCATCACCCTTTCTCTTCCGGCCAGACTATTCAGCGACGTTATTTGATCTGACCCGATCTGTGGCCCTGGAAGAGCACACCAAGCGATGGGGTCTAGAGACCCGCTGCCGCAATAAAAGCATCCAGAGGGCTTTGCTGAATCTGCCCTGGATGCAGGGAAAATAACTACGTGAGAATAACAGGAAGGTTACTTCGGACATCGATGGCCAGACACACGGTAGAAGTGCGATTATATGTCTACTTTCAAGTCGCGGCACACTCGCGAGCGACCCGGCCAATCAGTCAATATCGACGAGGTCAAAATTCTCGTGATGACGATCACGTGAGCCGCGAGCTGCTCGGATCAAGAATTTCCGGTCGCTGCCTATCAGCAAGCGCGATGATCTTCCCTCTCAGGACTTAACGCTACTACCTTGCCTGCGCAGAGGGATGCGCGGGTGAACCCAGCTTTCAGCAAGTCAAATGGCCTATCACCTAACACTAGGATGAACTCGAGGTCAATAACGACTTGGGTGTGTACAGTGAAGCTATCTTTACAGTTCGTAGAGGCATATGCGATGAACGTGGAGGCTGCAAAGTTTAACGAGTGGGCGGTTGCGTTAGCAAATGGGTTGCATGAGTTGTTTACTATATGTGCAGCCGCCAGCCTTACCCGCTGTTGTCCAGGTCTGTAGGTCAGGATAAATACCGTGGATTTTCTGTCTCATAATATCCTAAGCGAAATTGTGTGGTGTGGTAGGTAGGCGCTCACCGATTGTCCTTACGGAACTCCGCCGTCCCGTTGGGCTTTGGGCCTCTTTCTGGAGCAAAACCACCAGCCGCACAGCGGCGCGTAATAGATAGATAGATAGATAATTTTTATTAAAGACCGGTCGGGGTCCCAGCAAAGCAAGTTAAAATAAATTTGCATGCGAGTTTTAGACGAGGTAGGCCGAATCTTTACAAAATGCAATTCATAGTTTTACCAGCAATAACCGAACTCGTGGGATCTGTTGGGGCGAGGTGGACCCTAAGGAACACTTCCTCAAAGCAGCTCAGTGCGTTCCTCAGTATAGTAAATGTGAAGCGCTTGAAAGTTTCACGCCGTGACAATGATCACGACCTCAGATGCCGCCAAAAACATCACTCGGCTTCACTTAGAACTGAGGGTCAGAATGTAAAAATTTAACATGGCCGTTATAGAATTCTCAGCTAAGGGAGATTGAAACCCCCCCCCCCCATCTGAAGTTTGGTCTACGTCAGTTGCAGTATCGCGATGCAAAAAAGATAATCCGCACGCACCTAGATCAGCAATGTGATTATGTCCAGGTCTGTAGTTCAGGATAAATTCAGTGGATTTTCTGTCTC